GATTTCATTTTCCTAACACCATTTATGAAAGAAACGATCCTATTGTGTATTACCGATATCTTTGTCCAAGATTAGTTGACAATATGGGTAGAGTTTGTTTCTGAGCTTTCTTTTTTGTTTCATTTGTCTACCAAACATTTAAAGAAAATCTAATACCAATTTTTCTCAAACTATTCCAAAAAATTGAAGTGAAAGAAATTATTCCCAACTCACTCTGAGACCAGCATTAGCATTAATACTAAAATCAGACAAAAACATAACAATAAAAAAGGTAAATAATCCTAATGAACTCAGATGCAAAAATCCTAAGCAAAATAAGCACATAGTAAACTAGCAAACTGAATTCAACAGTACAGCAAACTGATTGTTCACAAAGATAAAATGGGATTCATGACAGAGATATAAGGATGTTTCAGCCTATACAAACTAATAAATTTGATACATTACATTAAGAGAAAGAGACAAACATGATCATCCCAGTGGATGCAGGTGTTGAATTTTATCAAATCCTTTCTGGTGTGAAACCATTAGGTCTGGGCTTTTCTTTGATGGGGGACTTTTTATTACGGATTGAATCCTGTTGTTATTGGTGCGTTCCACTTTTCTATTTCTTCTTGAGTCAGTCTTAATAGATTTTATATATCTAGGATTTTGCTCATTTCCTTTTGGTTTTCTTATTTTTTCTTATATAATTGTTCATAATACTTTAGAAATCCTTTGTATTTCTGTGTCTCAGTTGCAATGTTTGTTTTCATTTCAGACTTTGAGTCATATCTTTTTTAATTAGGTTGATTAAAGGTTTGCTAATTTTTGTTTATCTTTTTTAAAAAACTGTGGATTTAATTGATCTTTCCATTTTTTAAATCTCTTTTCAATTTATTTCTGCTGTGATCGTCATTGTTTTTCTGCTTCTAATTTTGTGTTAGAGTTCTTATTTTTCTAGTCCTTAAGGTACAATGTTAGATTGGCTATTTAAGATTTATTTTTTTGATGTGAGTACTTGTTGCTATAAATTTCCCCTTAGAACTGCTTTTTCTGTATTCTATATGTTTTGGTATTCCATTTTGATTCATCTTAAGGGATTTTTTTTTTTACTTACCCTCATTGAGATAATGATTGTCAAAAAGCATGTTATTTCTATTTTTGTATAATTCTCTAAAGTTCACCCTTATTACATTTTCTAGTTTTATTCCACTGCAGTCAGAAAAGATACTTGATGTGATTTTTTGAAAATTTGTTAAGAATTGTTCTGGGTGGCACCTGTGGCTAAAAGGAGTAGGGCACTGACCCCATATACCAGGGGTGGCGTGTTCAAACCCGGCCCGGCCCAAAACTGCAAAACAAAACAAAACAACGAACTGTACCCTGTAGATGTTGGATGGAATGTCCTATAAATGTCTCTAGGTCCATTTGGTCTAGAGTGCAGTTTACCTCTGATGTTTCTTTGTTAATTTTCTGACTAGGTGATCTGTCCATTGCTAAAACTATTTTTTTTTTTTTGAAGTTTCCACATTCTATACACAAAAGCCACATGGCCATCTCCAGCTTGTGCTGAGGTGGAAGGACCCACACGCCCCCCAGGCTGCCTACTCCAACTGCTTCGGGAAAATGAAGTAAACTTTAGGGAACAGAAAAAACAAAAACAGCAGCCCATTCCTAAGGAATTGTCAACTGTCCTGGCAAGCCCACCATGGCCACAGGGGCAGGTGACTCACTGGTGCCCTGCACAGCAACTCTCCCAGGCACTACTCACCAGCCACTCTGGCTTCCAGATTGGGAAGGCAGGAGGGGGGCGCAGTAGGGGGAGGCCCGGTTTACAGTGATAGGAGTGAGCCAAAAGGGCAGTACCTGCCACCAAGGAATACAAGGCCCCAAGGAAAGGCCCCTGAAAGAATGAATCTGTACCACCAGGAGGAGCTGAGGACACAGACTACAGCCTACAGGCCCAAGGCACCTGACGAGGTGGCAGTAGGCAAGGATGAGAATGAATCCCAAATGGGCACCCCAGGTTGGAGTTGGGCAGCAGTTCTGTGCCAAAGTCCACAGTTAGCCTGAGTGGGTCCAGCTAGCTGGCACGGGCAGCAAACACCCAACCCTGGAACAACGGAGGAGGCTAGCTGTGGACTGTTAATGCCACCAGGAAAAGGTTGCCAGTACCTGACATCCTCCATCATGTAGGCCACTGGGCCCTCCTCAGCTGTGTCGGTCCACTTGGTGGGGACCTCCTGCACATAGGGGCCCCCGGGAACTGGTTGGCAACAGGGGTGGCGCCACCCTACTGCCCCATAGGTGGAGAGTAGCAGTGCCTACAAAGTCTGAAGCCCCCACATCTCTGGGCTGAGGTCCGCACGGCACCTGTTGGCCAGTGTCCATCAACTCCATGGAGGGCAGAGGGGAGCTCCGAGTCACAGAAGTTACCCCTAAGTCCGTATAAATGCAGCACCAGGACAGAGGCCCACTGCCGCTCTATGAAAACAGGAATAATTCTGGGGCCACCTGGGCCTTGCAGGTGAGAGCAGCTGAGGCAGTGGCAAGATCCATGGGGTGGAGGAGGCAGTGTACAGCGGGGCAGCTAATTCCTCAAGGCAGCCAACCTCCGAGACAGCTGGTCCTCCTGGCTACGCACAGAGCTCTCGCCCACAGCAGAGGCGCCCTCGGGCAGCTGGCTGAGCTGGTCTAGTACCTCTAGGCCATTCTCCTCGGCAATCTGCACAATAAGGCTATCCACTTGCTTCTGAGGCGTAGTGAGTGTGGTGGCCGAGCTCATGGAGTCTTCCATCACCGATGTGTGTACATCCAGGTTCTGCACCTGCTGCTCAAATCTGTCCATCACTGCAGACAGCTTCTGCAGGTTCATGGTGCTCAGGGCCTTGTCTAGGGCTTTGGTCACTTGTGCCATGTTCTTGGTCACCCCTTTCATGGTCACAGCCGTCTGCACCTTGGAGGCCACTGCGTCCACACGGGATGCCATGCACAGCCAGTTCACACCCTCATTCTTCTTGCGGATGGCATTCTCGGCATATACACGGGCACACTCCACATTCTTTTGCTGAAGGGCCTTCTGCACTTTGGCCTGCTCGGCCTTGGAGTCCTTCTCTGCCTTCTTCGCTAGTTTCTCCAGTTGTTTTGCTGTGAACTTCAACTGGAACAGGGTATCGTCCATGGCCAGGCGAGCGGCGGCGCCCCTCAGAGAGGCAGAGGGACACGAACTCAGTGACTGCAAATCCCGGCGGCCTCTCTCTTCCTTTTTTTCTGTTAATATTTGGTTTATATATTTAGAGGTTCTGATGTTAGATGCATGTATACTTACAATTAATATATCCTCTTGCTCTCTTACCTCTTTATCTTTATATAATT